AAATATAGCGATCTATTACAGAGCTGAGTTTCTACTGAATGATTATACAACGATTTCATATAACTCGAATGTTTCAAAAAGTATGCATTTTCGTTGATCTAACCACTAACATGTCTGAAGAATAGTTAACCAATCACTTCGCTTCTGGTAGCAACCGAGGAACCACTAACTAGAAGCTATCTAAGTGATGATGGATTCCCAGAACATACTGTTTCTTCAATGAAAAAAGTTACATACTCATTTGTTTGGTACACCGATAGTTCGAAAATGGAAGAAGGGGTAGGCGCGGGTGTATATGGACCCGGATGTAGGCTATTTGAAGCCTTAGGTCACTCCCCCACTATCTTCCAAGCTGAAATACATGCCATCAACCTTTGCGCCCAAAAGTGCCTGAGCAAAAGGTCTGAGGGGTGCCAACAAATATATCTGCTCAGACAGCCAAGCCGCACTGAAAGCCCTAAAATCATTCGTTTTCACATCAAAGATTACATGGGACTGCTTTGAAACACTCATGCAACTGGAAAAAAACAACAAAGTCATACTTATGTGGGTTCCAGGGGATGAAGGAATCAAAGGAAATGAGGCAGCTGATCGCCTTGCAAAAAAAGGTGCAGCATCTGCACTTTTTGGTCCTGAGCCTTTTTGTGGGATAAGCAAATGTCACCTAATGGGAGAACTCAGGGAATGAAAAGAAATTGTCAACGACAAGCGAAAATGTTCATCAACCATTCGCAGAACCGAGCCAAAGAGCTACTCAGCCTCAGCAAACCAGTGCTAAAGCTTATCACAGGCTTTCTCACAGGACACGGCCCTCTGAGGTATCACCTCAGAAAGATGGGCCTGGCGGAGACTGACACTTGCCGCTTTTGTAACAATGCGATCGAAACCGCGGAACACATACTTTGCTCATGTGAAGTATTGGTCCGCCAAAGGCTGAACCACCTAGAACAGGTCTATCTCACCCCAGCTGAAGTATAAATTTCAACCGTCAGAGAAATGGTAGGCTCCATCTGAAGTCTAGAGTTAGAGGACCAAAACTAGATAGGGGTATAATCACAATAGATCTTCTAGGTCGCAGTGATCGAGTGGTCTCCCAGCCTATACGACCCATCTACAATCTCTAAATACTCATTCCCAATTAATTATGGAATATGGAGAACAATATTTATTCTAATCGAACAATATTCATTTAACAGCACAACCACATTGGAGCTGTCAGTATCTAGTACTCGATTGACATAACTCAGTTCAATAATGAACCACGCATTTTCACCACATCAATTATCGCAGCAATGACAAGTGAAATTATTAATTGGTACACAAATGAAATTAGTTGCTGTCAAATCAAGCCTGCACTGATAAATTCATATATTTCCTGTGAACCAAATCAATTCTTAATACGTATGCAAATTTTGTCCGATTTAGCTCATTGAACCACGACTGATAATATTTCAGGTAGGTATAACATTATTCAGAGATTGATAAAGAAGTAATAACCAGTTATGGTGGAGCAATATCATCTTGATCAGAAGGGGTACATAATAAACAATTTTGTGCTGAATTATCTCCTGATATTCCCCATTCATTATTCAAGTCATATTTTTTCTACTTTTCATATTCTCATGTTTTCCTCAGATATCAAGAGGACAGTGATGTTTCATATGTATTTTAGCCATTCAATACTTTATTCATTAGAGCCACTAGCACACACAATATAACAACATAATAATCAATAAACTAATTTTGGTTAGATAACGTTGGCATAGAGGCAGTAGGAGGCAATAAATGCCTAGGGCAAGGCTCTTAATCCAATATCTATCACAATTTACCAACATCCGCTCTCAGGTAATAATTGGCAATTACTTTATGTTTCATTGTGATTAATCAAAGTATTGTAATTATTGAAAGCCAATGAGTTCCGAGAATATTATCTTCTTGGTATAAGAGACTGATGTGCTGCTACTCGTGTTGAGAAATGCTCTAATTTTTTATAGCTACTTTTGCAGCAAATTATGGAGGTTTATGACAACCATAGTGATTATCTTTGAGAAGTATATTCAAACGTATAGTAAGAAGGATTGATATCAAATCTTGCGAGTTTTGTTATTTCTCAACCTGCAACTGAATTTTCTCAATCCCAATCGACTGACACGAGTGAATCGACTTCTATTTTCATCGATTTTGATGTCATTTCTCTTTATAACGATCGTTCACAACTGGATCACCGAAACATTTCAAATAAGTTTTTGTCAAATAAAACAAAAATAAGGATCCTTCCGAAACAAACCCATATTCTCCAAATTCCTCCGTTTTTGATAAACTTCTGACTTACTCAACTTCTGCAACCATGGTTAACAAGGATCAAACTAATTATTGAGAATTTATCCGACCATCAACTGATACTATTACCCATTACACTTGAATGAACATTGCATGATAATATAATGAGAATATTCTGGCGTGCTGATGAATTTCGTACATTTATGATGGGAAGTATTTTGATGGAGAGTTATTTCCAACAGAGCACTAAGTAAATATTCAGCTAGACATATAGTTACCTGATTTTATTCATTGAGATCTTCTATATATACATACTAAAGACAACAGCTACAGCAATAATATATTATTTCGAGATTTCGATATATAAGACCATCCTGAACCCGTCAAACCACTATCATTTGAATTATGCACTGAGAGGTCGCAAGTTCCAGCAACGGTAATCGCAATAAAAAATTCTGGTTCATAATTAAACATCACCTCCAATTTACACTTTTTTTGATCTACCCATGAAATATACCAGTATAAACCGAATCCACGTGCTATAGAGAGAGTAGGTACCTACTCACCCATACTCGTTCCCGATCGAAAAAGTCGGTTTTGCACTCCACATAAAAATTACAGCTCGACGTACAAAAAAAAACGATCATCCTTGGTGTTAATTCTTGAAGCACTTCGCAAGCGCTGCTGTGACTTATCGGCTTAAAACGCTCACCCATCGGCTCCGAGCACGTTATAAATCAGTGCTAAATTAATATGGTTCTGTGTCGGCTCAGTGAGCTGCTACAGGGTGGTCTAACATATTTCACGATTCAGTAAAAGATCCGGTACGTCTTTCCACGCTCCCAGTATCTACTGCCGATTGGTAAGAGGAACGCTCTCGGATTGTCCAAGTGGTACTTGGTTATGACTACAATTGTGGAAAGATGACAATTCTTTCTCTTTTTCGACGATATAGAGTGATTTTCACACAGTTGATGAAGCAGAATCATCTAATAGGGGCCACATTCTCATGTGTCAGTTACGCCTTTCATACATCCCGCAACTAGATGTCATATGAGTTTGGAATCATGCTTATCAGAAGTGACCCTGATACTCTGCTGGTTGCGCTATCAATGATACAAGCTTTACTTTATAAATGATCAATACGTTATGAAGGAATTATTATTCAAGTGACATGACCACTAGTTCCTCTCAAGAAACTACCTGCCAATGCTAATGTATGCCCCAAACTCCTTTTCACTCCAGCTCCGTTGATACCAGCACTTCAGCATATATGATCCACATGTACTGGCTCATGTATACAGATTATGCTATAAATATCTTGACGATGGTCTCATATCATCTCTCCTGTAGACTACCAATACAGAAACATGGAAAATAGCCAATAGGAACAGAACATCTTTCACCTTTCTTCAACTCACTTCCATCTGCTGAGGTGTTTGTTTTTTATTCCTCAAGTATCTCTAACATCAGGTAGGTATTAGCAGTTCATTCGGTGAAGTGACTCCAATGAATAGTTCCTTCTTATGAAAATCATTCTGTATGAATGATTATGGCGATTCCCACATGTGTCCCATCAATGTCTACCAATTCTCATTTTCAGCTGGTTTCATTCCCTATGGCTTCATACCAATGAATGCCTCCTAAGTTCCTATCTTTAACAGTTCATCCGCCTTTTCATAGTCATCTGGAGACACAAATACACTGATGATAGCCCAAAGCTCGAAACCGGTCTGGAGGCAATCTCGCGTTCCTGAACAATTTGGAAACAGATCAGCATTTTGGAAAGAATCACTTGCAGCTGTATTCATTTCCACGAATTCATTGATCTGCGTGGCATATAGCCAAGAAATTAGTTTTTTTTCTTGTTATCTCCCATTGCTTGGAGATTGTTCCAGGTACATCTTCTGATGGGGAAGACAATGCTCTACAATTGTCTCGTCTACTTTATGCTCTACCAACTCTGCTTCCGACGGTGCAGGTATAGATGTATAGAGTGTCAAATGGTGTGATCACTTCCTAGAGGAATATTATTATAAACATCTCAGTGCAGGTACTGAAAGTTTCGTCGTTGCCGAGTTCATCCTGTACACTTACTTGCTCTCCTTCTAGTAGGTGGTACCATACGATGATGAATACGGTGTTCCGGGTACGACTTCAAACAGTTCAAACGGCTCGAACAAGTCCATGCGAGCGTCCCATAACGTAATTTATGCGGTGCAAACAGAGGCGCGCAATATTTTTCGACATTTGAAAAGGCATTGTTCTGCATACGCGACGAAATACAGGTGTGTTGTGCGATGAAGTCGAATGAATTATATATATTATGTATATTTCCTTTGTCACTGATGCGGAATTTATGTGCCCAGATGAATCCCAGCTGGGCCAATAATTTGTCGTTGGTACCGAGGAGAATGGACAATTTGTTATCAAGGATCAATAAATGTTTGTGTCGATTTATTTTGATCAGGAATATATTTGTAAAAATGAATTTCTCACTAGGAAATATATACAGGGTGAAGCAAATGAATGTAGATACGAGAAGAGCGTGATTAGGCGTTTTTGTCACTAGTAACTCATAAAGTTTCGAGTGCTCTCAATTGAGTTTCTATAATTGATCGAATAATCGGGAAAGAGACATACCTGTTTTATTGTTAGACGATTGTTTCAAGAAAAGATTTAGATGTTCTCGTACATAGACTTCTATCAGAAATTTGCCCCTAGCAAACCTGCTCTTGAGCTGGTTCAGAGCCTTCCACATAATTTTCTCCAGATGGTGAAAAGCTTTCAACTAAACTCCTAGCCTGTGACCCTTCTTCCATTGCTTGAAGCATGTACTCGAACTTATCTATATTATCTATGGTCTCGTCTTCGTCGATCTTTTTGAATTGGCCCCAGAATCCGATCCAGCTACGTACATGACCATTGAATTCCTTCAGTTCTATTCTTGGGAGTCGAAAATTTCTCTTTGTACTTGACTCTCCACTGACACTCATGACTTTGAATGGTTATTGAGTGTATAATATCCCTTTGCCTTGAATCTGATCAGTTCATTTCTATATAGTTCAACAGATTCCCATTCAACTTCGAATTCTTCATCGCTCATGAGTTCTACGGCGATATTTTCATCCAAAATTGATATTCTTTCAGCTTTCTCTTCTAGTTGATCAAGCAGTACGGCAATCTCTTCTTTATGGATCGATTTTCCACTTAAGACTATTTCCAAATTTGTAATAATCTTCCGAAACACCTGTCTCAAGAATGCTCGTTCTTTGTTCAGTATCTCGAAATCACACATCCTGCAGTCCTGTCACGGTCGCCAAATAATGTAGCAAATGAACGTAGATACGATGAGAGTGTATTTAGGCGTTTTGCAGCTTTTGAAGATCAATTATAAAACTTGATTGACAATATCAAAAAATTCAAAATCAGAATTTTAATTGTATCATTAAAAAATACTCATGACAACGACATAATGTACAAAGTGATCAGCTCCAGATCCAACACAGGGTGTATCGAAAAAACCTGACCCACTTGCTAGGGTAGGTAGAACACTGCAAAATAAGTTGGGTTTGCCCAGTAAAAAAAGGTCCGTTTTCAAGATACAAGGTGTTGAAAAAATGATTGTTTTACAAATTGTTTACGACTATGTTGAAACAACTGGCAACATTGTGATGAAATTCCGTATATATGTTTTTTGGAATCTGACACATCGCATGAGTTCGTTTTTATATCTGACTCCCATAGAGGGCGCTAGTAACACGGTTCGTACCGAGTAGTTTTAAACATAACTTTTATGAGGATAGATTCTCCAACCCAAATATGATGTGAACTTGTATCTTGGAAACGGATGCCGTTACGACATTATTTTACTGAGCAGGCCCAACCTGATTTGCAGTGTTCTACCTACCTTAGCAAGAAGGTCAGGTTTTTTTGAAACACCCTGTATATCGATATTTCCAATTCGTTCTCTTGCTAGTAGTGGTAACCTTATTCAATTTCAATAGGCAAGGACACAAATGCGTGAATTCAATTCAAATATGCAAATAATTAAAATATAGTAGTAACATAACATTGATGAAATATGTTGCAATATTTCAAAAATTTTTCGTTAGGAGGTATCTATACTCAGAGACACTTTTTGTGACTTCCTCTCAACAGTCACAACAACTTATTTTCAGAGTTTACTCACAAAATTATCTTCATCTCATTAATAATCATTAAAAACAGTAGTTTATGGGCATGCTGATGGAACATGTAACTATTTCTTTTGATGGACATAATTTAATTTTTATTACGGATGGTTCCGTTTAGAATGACTTCTTTGTTACCTAGGTTTTATGGGCATTTTGTTGGAGATAGCCGTGTATCCGCATTTGCTGGTAGTTTAGCAAAGGAGCATTGTTGTTGAAAACAATAGCGTATGTAGGAGATTTTGATGGAGAAATTCTAAATTCGAATGTCAGTCAAGTTCATTAGTCAAGAGCATCCAGAAACTAATGGGGTTCAGTTCAATCCTCAAAACAAAATAGGATGATGATAATTATCAGTACATATTTTGTCTCACTCACCTATAATACATGTCTGCTCATTTGCTGTGAAAATTACTTTTTTTCATAATTAGACTGACAGATATTTGATTACTCCAGAAGAAATATAAAGATGCCTGCAACCCTTGATTATAATGTAATATCTTTTCAATATTGATTCTTCTTTTTACCTGTCACACAAAATAAATTACTATGAACGGGAAAAATATTAAATTTCAGCTCACGGTTCTTTGACTCCCTCCGCTACGCGTTGGTAGACTACACAACATGGAGCTAAAAACTACTATTTTTTAATCTTATGTAGAAGCCCATAATCAATATAACAAATAACTATTTTCCTCACTATCAACGGTATCCTTCGATATTTATATCTAGTGTGTTTTTTTTCAATCTCATATAACATGACCATGAATACCTATATGAGGAAACATAAGATTCTACAAACATGTTACTGATGATGGATCCATAATCAGTAAAATGTATCGGATTGAAACATAATATATGTATTTTACATATTACATAGAATTGTATAGATGAATGATTCCATATTCACTACCTTCATAACTACCAATACTTTTATTCTCTTTAGAAAGACAAATGGAATTAGCTTTTGAGATGACTCATAGAGAATTCTCAGCTGCAGCTTAATTGAGCAAACCTTTTCAACAAGGAGAATCACAAGTACTCTACAGATGTAGTAGGAAATTGCCATCATATTGAATTTTTGATGTGTTTTGACGAAATTGGTTGAAGCTACTCGATCAGCACAAAATATAGCAAATATACACGAAAGCTACACTCGTTTTCAGTGAACATGTCGCAAACGGACGGTGTGTGTTCTCTGAATCACTGCTGCAATAAGAGCCTTTACACCGTCCAACGGTGACATGTTTTCTGAAGACGAGCGTACCTATCCAACCATATGACTGATGTCCCTCTGCCTGTAGATTGTTTGATATACATAATCCTTTCAGAAAATTTCAATTCTGACTGAGTCTGCTAAAAACAGGCATGCCCTTTAGCAAAAAAGTGGAAATCATCAATGCAGCATGGTCTATAATTGAGTAATGTTATATTTAGTGTGGCTATATATATTTGACTTTTTTTATGTTCTGGTTTCCACGAAAAAGGATATCCTAGTGATTCACACGAGACCAACGAGACGAGACTTTCATAAAGTCTCGTCTCGTCTCGCCGATGAAATATGAAGTCTTGTCTCGAGTCTCGTCTCGCAGCATCCAGTCTCGTCTTGTCTCGCGTCTCGTACGAGAGTCTCGCAAATGTATCGCAATTTCGTCATGCATAATCTTGTTCCAGTTTGGTACGGGATATTTACCTTCACCTACTTTTTAGGTATAATGTAGAAGTAGAAAGAGAAAATTACAACAAAAATAACATTATTTATTGAAAAGTAAGTACCTAATAGGTACATACTCACATCATACATCTAGGCAAGAAAAAAACATAGCATTATATATTCGAAAGTTATAAAAATAAGATAAAAAGTAACACGTATATTCTAAACAAATGAACAAAACAAAAACTCTAATCCAACATTATTTCACTTATTTAAGAAATAGGTACCTATCTAAGAAAAAAACCTTTATCAATCAGATCGGCCTTCACGATCGCAAATGTTCATGTTTTTCACCCAGTCGTTAAGACAGGTTCATTATTAAGGCGATTCCGATGTTTTCTTATAGTTAACGCAGCACGTGAGAATAATCTTTGAAGTATTCATGAATGAAATGTTTTGTCGATTTGTACTAAATAGTCTGAATTCTTTCTAAATATGTTGTATTATGAATCAAATTCTCAATTCTGCAGTCGGCACGCAGTAATATTTACCTGCGAGACTCTCGCACGAGACACGAGAAGTCTTGCACGAGACTCGAGACGAGACCAATGAAAGTCTCGTCTCGTCTAGTCCGAGTCTCGTCTCGAGTCTTGTCTCGAAAACGAGACGAGCCCATGCGAGACTCTCGAAAACGAGACTCTCGCGGGCACCACTAGGATATCCTGTGATGTTCAGAGAACATCGTGAGAACCAAGGGAAATTAGGTAGGAATTGGTGTTCTTCTTGAATTTCTGAAGGTTGTATGCCTCGAGGAATACCTCCCTTGTCAATGTGTTCCAGCCTCGCTGTTCGTTTGATGAACGAGTCTTTGGAAAATGATGTGTGACCACGAAGGGTGTGACTCGACGGGTTAATCTCGCGGGGACTGCCAAGGGAGGAACAATTGTTGATATCGTCCATGAACATATCTAGAATCGAGCCAGATTGCCAACTTTTCTACGGTGTTCCAGTATTCCAGGATAGGTTGGGTCTGTGCCTTATAGATGATAAGCAGCTTACTTGAAGTAAAATAGCTTCTGGCTCGAAACATAAAACCAAGTTTTTGGGATGCACTTTTGGCGATTGATCTCACGTGATTTCCCCAAGAATAGTAATACCAAGCATCGAAATGGATGTCTTCGAAGGTAGAGTTACTCCTGACAAGCTTATGTTGCTTTGTTTGCATTGAAATCAACTAAGTTATTGGATCTCCATTTCCAGAATTGTTGCCAAGTCCATATTTATGTTCTCAACATTTCTTCCTCGTTCGTTTCTGATTTGTCTGGCTGGTATTGGAGCACTCGAAGAGAAGACGGTATGGAGGGTACTAATCTGTATATGATTCAAAGCATAATTATTATGAAATTATTCGAAAAATTTTTTAATGTTGTAATAAACTCGGAGTCTCTGAAGCTTATGATTCTTGTATTCATATATCAAAAACCTTGAAGAAGAATGTGAACATTCCACAATGTTTATAATGCAAATGGCATTCCTTCGTAGCCAAGTGTCAATGGGGTAATAACCAACGAGGAAATAGAAAAATTAGCAGAATTCTTTTCATAGACTACAACACCAAACAGAAGATGAACTGAAAATAGCAAAACATTAACTGAGCTCTAGTTTTTGTTTGATGAGATATCACCCACCAAATTTTTCGTAAAATTTACTCAATTTGCAAGAGGCTCTTCTTGTTGCGCGAGCGAGAAATAAGAGAACCAGATCCAATAATTCGGTCGGCCAGTCAGTCGTACTTAGACTTATTTCGAACCTTTCAATGGTGCACGCTCCGAGGTATGCAGATCCGTCCATCTAGCTCAGCGCGAGTTATGGAGCAGCAAGTTTGTCTCTTGCATTTCGTGACGAGACTGTTGAATTGCACAATTAGCGGCTGATTGGTCCAGCTGAGAGCTGGCTAGCAGGTATCTAACTCACCAACTGGGTTACCGACCCCTGTTGACAGAAGCAGAGGCGTCGATAACAGATTTTCCATTAGGAACAAGTGACTCTCAAATCCACATTCTCAGGTCGTGCAATTCTAATTAGAACAGGAATAGATAACAACACATTTACGTATAGAGACGCATCAGAACGATAGCAAAACAACGGAGGAAACAGAAAGTGTAAGTGAGGATGATTTTACAGAAATTTTAGACTAACTTTGGTGATCCTCCAGAGAGAAATTGTATTATTTCTTTACTTTGAATACCAAACGTTTAGTAAAATAGACGCCAGTCACTACATTTATCAAATAACACAACAAGTTTATTGTGGCACACAATTTTTTTCTTCGAACCCTGTAGATTTTGTGAACTTCGCACTCTCAATTATCTCCCTTGAAGTGAATAAAAGGTCAATTTTATTTCAAAGGGAGACAATTTGAATCGATATGCTCAGCTCTCAAGGTTGAACCTACTAGGGGGGGGGAGGAATCTCAAATCTGAAGGTGGGTCGAGTGACATATGATCCTGAAGGGCGATCAATCAT